ACCAAAACAAAAACGAAATGCGAACGAGGCGCGCGGCTATTTTGCATATTCAAATGAACAATTTTACTGCTAAATGCGGGCAATAAAAGCACAGCAAAAGCAACAGCCGGCGTCATCTTTGGCCCCCAGAGTGAATCAGCCGTAAACGAGTTGATCTTAGAAAGCGGAGAGATCCCCCTCCCTCGCCTTTGCCTCTTCGAACTTCGATTTCCAGCACGTGATTGACATATCATCGCCAAGCGGTGGACTCCCCCTTGCCGACAGCTCATCGACATGGCTAATACTTACTACACATACCTACCTACCGACATCGATTTGGGAAAGCAAAACCTCAATATTATACAATAATTAGCAACAAAAATGATTGCCATTTGTAATTAATGCACATAATTGCTGGGCCAGATTGGTGCCCCGTAGAATGTGGCTTAGTAGAATGGAATAAAACTAAAACAAAAACGAAAAGGAAAAAAAATGCGAATTTTTGAAATGGACTCGTAATTGTATTATTAATTGCGCTTAATTGAATTATGAATAATATTTATTCGCCCCATAGGAAGTGCATGGCTGGTACAGTCCTAGCACAGATTTGTATTCTCGGAAGTCCCCAGCAAGGGCACCAAACGAGGGCTGGGAAATTCAGTTCCAAGTGGATCGGCCGATCGCAAGGCTGCAAGATCGTGCGATCCGCTCCGGAGACGGGGAAATAAAACGATCCAGAGCGGAAGGTTGGGAAAAACTCTAGATGCGGTTTCTGGTTTATATTAAGTATATTTACTACTTCGTTCTGTGGAAATTATAATTTATTTATTCCGAAATTTTGTTAAAATTTTATTAAGGTAAATGTTTTAATTTATTTTCTAAGAGTTTGAATAATTAAATGCTTAATAATATTTTACAAAGACTGTCCTTTAAAGTTTCCATTTAATTTGCTTGGTTATGCACTTTTAAACAATCATTATTGAAGTAAAAACTTGTTCCTTACAACAAACAAATTTTTAGGATTTTTCTGATTTAAGTTTCAAAACAAACTCTCATTTTTTATAGTAAATTTGTTCATGTTTTGTTAAACAGTTTTTTTAGGACTTCTACCTATTTTATTTTGTTTTTTCCATTTTTTTGTAAACAATTCAATAAAATTATCTTTCAATTTTAAAATGAATCCCCCTGTTTACCCAAGTTTTTGTCAACTTCATGCATAATTCAAAGTATCTTAGCCAAAACTATCTTATTAACATATCACACGATTCTTATATTCTTTTCTTTCGTCTCTTGTTCTCAGACTCATACAAATTGCCAACAGGAACTGCTTTCCCCGGATTTTTCAAAAACTTTTTCGCATTTCATGCTGACAATTATGATTGATGGAATGGACACAATAAGAAACTGTACTTGGATATTCCCATTTTGGGCAAAAAAGTGGACTACGTGACCGAGGCAAACCTAAACACATTTTTTTAATAGAACAATGAATGTGTGTGTGGCACAGTTAAAACTCAATAAAGTCCGAAAAGGTCGTTTCCAGCGATTGCCGCCTGTGAAATTTTTAATTATAGAATCTAATTTGTTTGAACGCTCTTTTATCTTGATGATTGATCATTAGGTCTAGGAAAAAATAAAAAAAAAACAAACATAAAACAAACGAAAAGAAAAAAGTAAATCCGTCTTATGTAACAAAACTTAAAAATTGCAAAAGCCAATACCATCGACCTTCAAGCGCGAGCCAAATTCAGTTCTCAAAGGAGCCATTTCAAATTTTTTTGTGGCAAACAATTAAACATTGTTTAATGGGAGGGAGATGGAGATATACATAAACATCAAGGGAGGCGGAGGGGGGATCGCTTATATAGACTGTTTTACTGATTATGGTTTGATCATGAGACTTCAATAAAACAAACAAACTGGTTGACCAAATCCGGGGAAGGGGAGGGTTAGGGAAAGAGTTTTATTAGATGGGGAGATCGCTTGGGAGCTAGTCAACCGTTAAAAGGTTCACGGCCAAGGACAAGGAAATCCCAGTGAACGGCCACCGCCTCCATGAATCACGACTAAAAAACTGACTGAAACTCCGTGTATCTGAAACAATTTTGTGACTTCTGAAACCTTGGGCGTGTGTGCGCGTATATTCGTTTGCATATTGTTCGCCGTCTTATATCTAATACCTTTAGAATGAGCAAAGCGTATGCGCCGTGCACAATTAAATTTAAATATTTAATAAAAAAAAAAACACAAAATGAGAGAATTAAACAGCGAAAATAGAGGCTGTGCCTTAATTATGCAGTCCCGCGCAAAAAGAACAATAGTAGAAAACTAATGTCGGAAGAAAAGTATGCCTCCAGCCACTCAAGGCATTCGAATGTGTTTAAGATTAAGATATCTACTACTGGCCCGAATCTATAAGCTCTTAAGTGCTTAAACCTTAAACTGAAATTATAGTTTGATTGGCTTCCTAAAAATATTGCACGAAAATCGGAAGTAAATGTTTAGCCAAATGTGAATGGTATGGAGGCTAATGTGGGAACTTTTAGCAAGTGACTAATGGCTAATATAAAATTTATTGGAATTGTTTAGGCTAAATGGAAAAATTTTTGGGACTTAAATTTTAATTATTTAACTAACCTCTAGCATTATAAACAAGAAATGTAAACAAGATGTCTGGATACTTAATTAAAAAGTCAAATTGCTATAAAATTGAGTATATATTTGAAGCTATACAAATAAATATACAAATATATAAATAATAATAAAAATAACTAGTAATATTGTGATGAAAATTAAGATGCTCTAAATTGTGACTATGAAATAAATGATAATAATAATAAGGAAATATAACTTTTGATATTCTTATCTTATTCTTAGCATGCAACGAAATATTTATAATATTTAATTAAGGAAATCTTATCTTAATGCTCTGTAAATATGGTTAAATGCATTTCCTAGCTCCCACGACCGCCGCCGAACTGAATCATAAAGCCCACTCGATCGATCCAATTTGTATAATGGATCTATCAGTGCTATAATTATGTTTTTGCTACTCCAGATGTTGTACAACTCGGGGGACTTAATAACTTAATGCGGATCGAATTAGATAGACGTATATATGATGTGTTAGCTCATTATCGGGCTCGTTAGCTCAATCACTCGATTTGATCTACTAATTTGATCGGTCCGCATTAACATCGGCATTAGTTACTTAGTTAGTTAGTTAGTCGCTTGAGGCAGGCTGCAAGGATGACCGGATTGTTGGCAAGTACAAGTGCACATATGTAGATCAATGGCAAATCGATCCGCGTCGATCTCGAGCGGCGGCGCTAACTGAATTTGGTTAAAAGCTACAGCACACACGATCGAAAATAAAGCTGCCACTGAAAATGTCATTCGAAATGGCGGCCCGAATCCAATTTGAGAAGCGGCGGCAGCCTTGCCGGCGTTATCAGCTTACAGGACAGGAATATATATGTTCGATATATTCGCTATACGACAGATATACGATCTCGTAATCCGTCAGCTGCCATATGCAAATTCCAATCGCCAGATGTTTTGACGGGGCTTTCAATTATGCCATAGATAATATATATAATGCGACTGTACTTAGTTTAATGTGCTACATTTACGCATGCAAATGAGCTGTTAAATGTGCTTTTAAAACTTAATCGATACGGCCGGGTGCCGCCTACTTGGTACTCGTCGGGCACGCACGTACACCCATGCGATCGGCACTTCCTGTTTACCATTAGTTTGTTTTCGAGATCACTTTCACTTTGTCCCTATATGATCCGCTTCTGCATCCGCCCTAGTTCTCCCGAGTTTTGGTTGAGTCATTCAGGATATAGTGTATTTTTGCTTTGACAGCTTAAGATCTTTGACTGTAAGTACACCCAGAAAAACAGAATTGGAGAGAATAAATAAGCATTGAAATTTAGCGGAATATATTGTAAGTTTTTTTAAATTTATAGTCTTGCTTTAAATACATATATTTAGTACTAAAAATGATGTCTAACGTTGAACTTATACCAATAATCGCATATTTTAAGTAGTACTATAATGTTATTATTAAATTTAAAAAATAATTACAGACTATAATGATTCGAGATAATATTGCTCTTTTAGCCCAAAAACGACTGAAAGTGTAACTATGCATTTTTTACTTAGAAATTATAAAGAATAATTCATAAAAATATTTGTTTGTAATAAACAATAAACCAATAAAAAATGAGTATTATTTTAAATCAATTTAGCATTCGATTAACACCTTTAGTGTTGTTACAGATTGTGCTAAATGGGTTATATTTTCGAATTATGAAAAATTTGTTGGTTTCTTATATTAATTAAATCATAAATGTTTCTGTGGGAGGAATCACAATCAAGCATTTTTTTAATAAGACCAATAATATTTTTAATAAACAGATTTCTCACAGCACGCGGGTACACAATGTCATATTTTAATATTTCCCTCCGTGCACACACGGCGTATACTTAACTTTTGGCATGGGCTAGCTTTGTTTTGTTTTGGTTTTTTCTACATGACCCGCAGAGGCTTTTCAAATGACGCTCCACCTGGGCAGCTCGACAATTCCAAATGCTTTTCGGGGTATTCTACCATTCCGACTGACGCGCACGCGCTAATGGTTAACCCCGGTTACTTTTTTGCTGGCCAAGAGACAAGAGAGCAAAACACAAAGCCAACAAAAACATGGCCAATGCGACGACGTTCTAGCCTGTTGCCGCACTTGAACTTGGTCGAGTCAGGCCCCGCGATTCTCGACCCACTCGGCTCTGCTGCTGCTGCTGCTGCTGGTGAGAGGAAACCCCACTGAATGGGCATATCTCGGCTTTAACCAAGCTCCAGCTGGGCAACTACGTCACAGCCGCGTCATGCGAAAACCGAAAACCAGTCATCGTCGTCGTCGCTCGTTCAGGCCGAAACCGAAACGCTCGTTCGTTAACTTGGCCGTCGGAATCGGAATCTGGGGGTATTTAAGCGGCGGCAACTCGACCTGGAGCATGCATTGATTCGCTATCATCCGCTCTAAAGACTTGTGCCCAGCCTCAAGTAGTTTGCTGACTCTGTTTGTTGTAATACAATTAGCTGACAAGGATAATCTAAAATAAACAATCATCGTTTTCGAGTTCGCGAAAGGATCCAGAGAAAAGTTATACATCCATCTACCCGTGAATCCGAGAGTCGACAGTCGAGAGTTCTTGTCCCAGCTCAATTCTAGACGCAATCAGTTTCAGTACCAGGAGCGTATTTCTTGCCAAGTTTTTCAAAAAAACACCTGAAAACCCAGCCAGATCGCCAATAAGCAGTGAAAGTGTCAACACATTTCGAGTGCTTATTGCAAATCAAACAAGAAAAGCGTAACCAAGCACATAAGCAAATAGTATTCTAAGTGTTTTTGGCAACACTTTGCGTAAATTTTTGTTAATTACCCCGAAACAAAAAACCACACACACAAAACAAAATGATGGCCGTTGCAGCAGCCCAAAAGAACCGCGAGATGTTCGCCATCAAGAAATCCTACAGTATTGAGGTGAGTCTAAAAATGAAAATGAAAACAATTTCCAAATCGAATCGTATTGAAAGAGAAACAAAATTTTAAATCCAAATAGAGCGACTAGATTTTTGGTCTACGTGACTATCCAAAGGTTTTGAGTTTTGAAACCGAAATACAAACCAGTTAGTTAGCCGGGCAGTCGGCCCATTTATGCGCATATCCCGCATTTCTTTCTGTTTGCAAATTCAGTTGTGACCAACTCCATTCAGTGGCCAGTCTTGGCCAACAAGTCGCACCTCTAAGAACAGGCGGCCCAAATCGAAAGGCCCAAATTGCCAGCGGACACAATCACAACAGTCGTCCCAGTCGTGTGTTAAGTTATTATTTAACAAATAAGTGAAAGTGGCTGCCTTTTGGGCCCCTGCACTTAGCCTGGTCGAAACAGTCGCGCCTCATTGTATTGACTCTCGTCTCTGTTTCTGTTTATGTTTATGCTGCCGCTGCCGACCAAAACAAAATATGAAATCAATAAAAATGATTCAATGAGTTGCGCATCTTTCATCAGCCAAAAAAAAGAAGAGGTGGCCCAAAAAACAGAAAATCCCACTGAAAACCAAACAAAAAACAAGATGACAGTGAAAACTGCAACTGATGGAAACCTTTTTTCCCCCCAGAAAAAAGAAAAAATACCTTTCCAGTTGCCAGTTGCATTTTTCGTTCCCCCCAGAATCCCTTGGGTTATTTCGATGGCTTTCGGCCGTATATAAAACTCATCTTGGCACCTGCCCATCGCTTTGAATCGGTGACATCTCGCATTAAATTACCATTCGGGGCTTTGAATCACAATCAATGCGGTTCCATGAATAGCCCATAGAAACTCGAAGAAAAGATCTGAAGACACTGAAGCTTTCACAGTTATTTTATGTAAGGTTTAAAATTGCGCAATAGTCTGCTCAAAAAAAAATCACCACCCAAGCGTGGCGAAGAAACCACCCGGGCCTGAAGGTCAAGGCAACTTGGTCCAATTTCCGCTGCATATCCTGAAAGTGTCACTAACAAATATATATCTCTCTCTCTTGCAGAATGGCTATCCATCCCGCCGTCGCAGCCTGGTGGACGATGCCCGTTTCGAGACCCTGGTGGTCAAGCAGACCAAACAAACCGTCCTCGAGGAGGCCCGCAACAAGGCAAATGGTGAGTCTCTAGAATCCAACAAGTGGTTGCTAAGTAGCTTTAAAGAGGATTTAAATTTGGCTTTGAAAATCCAACAAGTGGGTGCTAGAAAATCGTATTAAATTGGGCTTATTTATCCTGAATATTTTAAAGTAAATTAAATTTGATTTTTACATTTTTAAATTGCGTTTTATTTATTCTGAATCTTTAAAAGTAAATTATTATTTTTAGTTTATCATTTATTTTTCCCCATTTATTTATTATTTTCCTTTCTTTTTTATTTCTTTATTTTAAAGACGATTCTCTGGAGGACTGCATTCTGCAGGCTCAGGAGCACATTCCTGCCGAGCAGAATGTGGAGCTCCAGGACGAGCAGGCCAATCTGGAGAACCTTCCCCTGGACGAAGAATATGTTGCAGGTTAATATCTATTCCCTTTTATTTTTCCCTCCCCTTTTCGTTTTCGCTGCCTTAAGCCTATTATCTTTGATTTGATTTCGATTATGATTTTTATTGGTTTCTGTTATTTTTGATTTTATTCCCTTTTTAGTTGAGGAGGATGTTGAGTTCGAGAGCGTTGAGCAGCAGCAGTCGCAGGAGCCAGAGGGCGAACGCCAGCCGACCAAGAACGGTGAGCAGGGGGTTTCTGGTCCTCAACCATCTACCATAAGTAGTACTTAACTTCTGAGGGGCTTTTGAAAAGCGTGCGACATTGATTTAAGTGCTTAATATGATAAAGTGCCAGTGGCAGTGGGAAAGCACTCAACACACGGACAATTGAGTGAGAGCGGCGAAGGCGGCGGCGTTGAAATGTCGCATTTCCCTTTTTCATTTGTTACGCTCGACTTAATAAAAGTATGAGTGCGAAATGAAATGCGTTTGCCTGGCAACGCAGAAGAACTAAAGCCCACACGCCCACGTAGCTCGCTTATCGTTTACGTGACCCTAAGCCTCAGATGATTGCATCCTTACCATAATATCCTTTTCCTCTTTTTTTTTTTATACAGATTACGGTCTCACCGAGGACGAGATTTTGTTGGCCAATGCCGCTTCGGAGTCCCCGGAAGCCGAGGCTGCCATGCAGAGTGCCGCTTTGGTGGTCCGCCTCAAGGAGGGCATCTCCTCCCTGGGCCGCATCCTCAAGGCCATCGAGACCTTCCACGGTGCCGTCCAGCATGTGGAGTCCCGCCAGTCTAGGGTCGAGGGCGTCGATCACGATGTCCTGATCAAGCTGGACATGACCCGCGGCAATCTGCTGCAGCTCATCCGTTCGCTGAGGCAGTCGGGCTCCTTCAGCAGCATGAATCTGATGGCCGACAACAATCTAAACGTGAAGGCCCCCTGGTTCCCCAAGCACGCCTCCGAGCTGGACAACTGCAACCATCTGATGACCAAGTACGAGCCCGATTTGGACATGAACCACCCCGGATTCGCCGACAAGGTGTACAGGCAGCGCCGCAAGGAGATTGCCGAGATTGCCTTCGCCTACAAGTACGGAGACCCGATCCCATACATCGAGTACTCCGACGTGGAGGTCAAGACCTGGCGCTCGGTCTTCCGCACCGTTCAGGATCTGGCTCCCAAGCACGCCTGTGCCGAGTACAGGGCCGCCTTCCAGAAGCTCCAGGACGAGCAGATCTTTGTTGACAACCGTCTGCCGCAGCTGCAGGAAATGTCCGACTTCCTGCGCAAGAACACCGGATTCTCGTTGCGTCCTGCCGCTGGTCTCCTGACCGCCCGCGACTTCCTCGCCTCCCTGGCCTTCCGCATCTTCCAGAGCACCCAGTATGTGCGCCACGTCAACTCGCCCTACCACACCCCCGAGCCGTAAGTATCTACAATCTATATATATACATTTTACCAGGGGGTTAAAATCACTTCACTTCAAAAAGGGGAGAAAAAGGACTCTCTCTCTTTGTCCTAACCTAATTGCATTTGCCTGCCATTGTGTGCGAGTGCCGGTGCTTCCTTTTCCGCTTTTCCGAACCAACTTTTGCTGCCAGGCAAATTGGCTACAGGAACCAGCTCATTTAACCGGGCTAATTGCTTTATGCCAACACATTTTCCACACTTTTAACAAGCATTATTTTCCCCTTCTTATTACAGTGACTCCATTCACGAGCTGCTGGGTCACATGCCCCTGCTGGCCGATCCCAGCTTCGCCCAGTTCTCGCAGGAGATTGGACTGGCCTCGCTGGGTGCCTCCGACGAAGAAATCGAGAAGCTGTCCACGGTGAGTTTTTAATTGAGTTGCAAGCTGCAACGAAACGACCTTAGCCTCAAGTGCAGCTATGACGCAGCTGGTTTTTTGTTCGCCACCAAGATCATTGTTTAGTCACTGTCAAAGTCGCACAGAAAAAGTGCTACTCAATGATTTTTCCATGCCGAAACCAAAAAAAAAACTGGGTCTTGAAAAATGCAATGGGATATTTTACCTGAAATCAGAAAGTAGATGTTTTGTATGATATTCAAATTGAGTTTTGATATTTTATAATATCTTTATGATCTTCTTTTTGATAAATTCTTCAAAAATAATATTTTTTATATGATCCAAAATCTTATATCAAAAAGTTTCGATAGTTTTGATTTTTTATAATATTTTTATGATCTTGATCTTTAATAACAGTCCCAAATATTTGCCTTTTTATTCCGTTTTTACCTTTATTTCCTATTAGTTACTAATTTAAACCCCTTATTTATTTAATATATCTACAGGTCTACTGGTTCACTGTTGAGTTCGGTCTCTGCAAGGAACATGGTCAGATCAAGGCCTACGGCGCCGGACTCCTGAGCTCCTACGGCGAGCTCCTCCACGCCATCAGCGACAAGTGCGAGCACCGTGCCTTCGAGCCCGCCTCCACTGCTGTGCAGCCCTACCAGGATCAGGAGTACCAGCCCATCTACTACGTGGCCGAGAGCTTCGAGGATGCCAAGGACAAGTTCCGTCGCTGGGTCAGCACCATGTCGCGTCCCTTCGAGGTGCGCTTCAACCCGCACACCGAGCGCGTCGAGGTCCTGGACTCTGTGGACAAGCTGGAGACCTTGGTGCACCAGATGAACACGGAGATCTTGCACCTGACCAACGCCATCTCCAAGCTGCGACGCCCGTTCTAAAGAGAGGGAGAGAGAGAGTGGGAGGAAATGATATATAGAAGCACCCAAAACACCACACCACCCACCCACCCCCTCGCACACCACCACATTCACATACAGGTGCAACGGTCTCATTTTTACAAATTAATTTTAAATTGACATACCGCACAATCCCTCGTATTTTATTTTTTGTTTATTGTTTTTTGTTTAATTTTATTTTATTGTCATCCAAAAAAGTTCTATTTGTCGAATCGAAAAAAGCAAGCATATTTATTTGTTGATCACCGATCACCCGATACACAACAAACACACCCGACCCGCATATTTATCACCGCAACTATTATTGGACCAAAAAATCGTTAGACGTTTAAGTGATGTGAAAACAAAGCCAGGCAAAGCGAATTAAGTGAAGTGAAGTTAAGCGCTGGGAGAGCAAAGTTCATATACCATCCGCACTTAGTAGGCAAAGTACCACACAAAACCGATTGTATACTCAGACACAAAATGTTTTTGTATTATTATTATCTTCTTCTTTTTGTCTCTCACAATATTTACCTAGACTATATAGACACGCGATATAGTATGCCCGGTATTATAACTTCATTCGGAGAGAGTATTTCTTAATACAAAATTGAATTGAAAAAAAAATACAACAATCAAACAAACGGAAAAAAAAACGGAAAAGATCAAAATGAAATGGAAAACAAAATAGAATTTTCTTACATTGTACAATAACTGTAAACGACAATATTACTATTGTGTACTATTATTATTATTATCTATTATTATGCTTATGACTATTACGTATTGTATTGTAGGTATGTAGAGTTTAAACATTATTATTTTATTTAAGTTTTGTGTATTAATAAAATTAAAAATGCAATTGAAAAATAATTACTCTTTGGTTTCTTCATTTGATTATCTTCTTTGGCAATTAGCAACTCTAAAGTCTGATTCTGTTTAGGGAACATTTTATGACATGCAAAGGGAATATTTATTTAGAAATGTGAATAAAAAGGAAGTAAAAGGGAAGGAAATTGTGAATTTAAATGAAATGGGTGAGAAAACTTAAACAAAATCGAGCTATATACAAGATATTTAAGAAATCTGATTGATGTGTATAAAATAATCAAAAACCCTTGGACCACAATATATATAACATTATAAAGTTATTAAAATCAAAAGTGGACTCAACATTGGGATCAAGAATATTACATATTTAAAGTTAACGTAGCGTGAAATTTTATTGTTATTGTTCGATGTAGTTGCAATTGGATCAAAAGCCAACCAAGTGTTAACATTTCTGCAAGCAATTAGCCAAACTAATAACTAATTATATTCGCATACAAATATCTATACAAGTTAAAGCGCAGTTGGTCCCCAAGCCAGGCTTCGTTGGTTCTGAAAAAATAGTATACAATAAAAGAAAATATTATTAGAGGTGCACAGAACGTGCAGATATCAGAAATATAAATGTCTCTCTATCTTATGTGTGTATTTATTCGCTATTATATGAATAAAGTTGAAACCGTTTAAACTTGAAAAGGAACTAACTTTCTGGGAGGGGCTGTGGCACTTAAAAACGCCCCCAGTAATTGACAATGGTATTTGTTTTTATTTCTATTTTTTGAGCACCTTGACTGGTCAGAGATCCTGTAGTCATGATTAACAATTGGAAAGGGGCCTCTGATGGAAATATTTTATTCTATTCTCAACCTATGCCAATTTATTTTAATTAGCAAGCTCCAGTAATTAGTCTTAATTACGCACGAGCATGCTATAATTACTACAGTAGAACTTTTCTTTCCTAACTATTTTTTATCTGTCCAAAAAAATATTTAGCTAGCATGTAGAGTATTCAAATTAATTTGATTTTCCGATTATCAAAAGCGACAGCTGTTTTTAAAACATGACCTACCTCAGCATATTAATTGTGGAAAGGAAAAAAATCTGATAAATAAATAACACCTGAGCGGATTTATCATATGCCAATTACAATACGTGTGCGACTACAAGTATGAGTATTTATTGTGATATAATAATTGGCTGTGTGAATTGAAATTGAATGTGCTAATAGTCTCGAATTGCGGCGGCACAGCAACAGCGACAATTAGCGGCTGCCGATCGGATGTAGGCGATATAGAGTGGACTCGTGGGAACGCCCACGTTGTCGTCCAATTATAATGATATTAATAAGAACGATAAGGGACAGATGTATCGAAACTAAAATGCCCTCGCAGGTGTGCTAATCATCGAAATGGGTTGATCTCATATATAAGATCTAAGTAGGGCTTGGAATTTCCCTAGTGTTTAGTTTAGGATCGTAATATCTAGAATCTTTTGCAGGTGTTCTAAGAAGAAGATTAAAGAAATATTACTTACGAGCTTAAAGACTTATTGACTAATACAAAATGACAAATTAATGGTTTTTAGGGAAATTGAGGCAACTGAATATTTGCATTTTTTATTTAATTATTGAAATATTGCCTTCTGTAAAAACTTTATGCTTCAATGGTTACACATGGTCTGAGCTAATATAAAAACCAAGACTTGGGAATTCCCATGGGTTAATGTCATAGAATTTATGTGAGATATATGAGTTAAATTATAATTAAAATATTAATGACTAGAATCTCTTGGAAATTGAAGGTCATAGGAATAAAGTTGCATTATAGTTTCATTAAAAGCTTGAACTTGAGTTTACATAGTTAATAAATCTTAATAAGCAATAAACTAGGCTTGCCCTAGATTTTATTTTAGGTTAATAAGCTAATCAATCTGGTCATAATCTCTTGCAGGTGTACTGAAATGTGTAAACTTGAACTTGAGTTAAACGTCCAATATTAGGTATTTTAATTGATTTAATAATTTCAACAGCCTAAGGGCTTGGAAAATTGATTCAATTTATGTATACATTATTATTTTATTAAAATTGCAAACAAATATTTTAATATGCCTAGAAAATCGCCTGCTCCGATATACCCATTAAGCACTTGGTATACTATAGTTAATGACAATTGCTGATATATCTCCATTATGGCCATTACTTGATACTAAAAATATGAATTGGCAGCGAAGTTCAGCTGGAGCTAAGGCTGGGCATTTATCAACTTTAGTTGGCTTTTGTTGGGGCTTTGTAATCGGCTAATTGTCCGACTGATTTGGGTCAGGTTTAAAAGGCTGGCTAAATACTTGGCGTTTCAGTTTGGCGTGGGCAAACATTTGCACTTGATTCGATTGCCAAGAGCGGCGGCGGACTACGTGCCGCTGGTCAGTTTGGGCCTGGCCGGCGACTCACATATGTAAGGTTCTTATGGTCTTCTGTCAAGGCCACTGAGCAAATGGGTTAGGGTTGCAGGAAACGCGAGGCTGGCACGGGTTTGTTGAACCGACAACGGCGCGATAATTGCCGGAAGCCCAATGCACTTTGCAATTAAACACTTTTCATTAATTGTTTAAGTTTTTTACACAGCCGAGAAGAAAATAAAAACAAGCAAGAAACAAGAATAAATTCAGTGGCAGTGGCAGTGCTCAGAGCTCCAAGAGCGAAACACGTTTCATTTACAGCCGCCGCAACATTTCAAATTTGGCTAATTAAACTCGCATAAAAAAAGCAAAAAAAGACCCAAAATACAAAAGCCAAGGTTAGCTGGAGCTTGGCTTTGACAGTAGCCAAAGGAATTAACTAGAACATGTCTACACGGCTGTTATTGCTTGTACTACCAGTATTTGGTATTTGATATTTGGCTTTGGCTAATCGAAAATCAAAGTCAATGACTTACAGCCCGGCATGGCCAAATTCTGCATTTGGCTTTGGCATTCTGGCCGCCATTTCGGTGCCAATTAATTGCAATCCGAACGCGAGTCTTGAACTTTTCAGAGAGACACTAAATCTAAATCTAGTCGCTTACTTAGCCAAGAGCTGGAGCCTCGAATCTCAGCTGGAGGTGTGAGTATCTGCAGATCCAAACCGTTAGGCTAACCCACTGCTATGCTAGCCCACTGCCAACTACACGGCGTTTTGGCCAGGGGCGCACCTGTTGGCCGTTGGTTCTAATTTAAATGATCGAGCATTTACAATCGCAATAGCTCTCGGGCTAATTAGAGTATGAAACGGGTTTCCACCCCTCGAATCTCGGGGGGATGCAGTGTACTAACCCCTCATTTGCATATCCATGCTGGAACAGCTGGTCTTATGAATATTTACAGGGCGTGAGAGATGCACCCATAAATAACTGCTATATTTATAGATAAGATGTTCGTATTATTACATCGATTTTCCCTGGATTATTAGCTTTCCAGGTTTTTTATGAGGGGATTCCTGAATTTATAAATGTCTGGGAATAGATCAAGCATGAGCTTATCTGTTAATGGTATAAGGGTGATTGACTTTACAACTTCAAATTTATTATAAATAACTTAAGTATTATTGTATGCTGGTAACTTTATTTTCTTAATGTTTAATTTAAAATTAATGAGTACAGAAATAACAGCGATATTTATAGATGGGATATTCGTATATTATTAGCTTTTCAGATTTTTGTAGAGTCAGAATCCCATTAAAAGTTTCTTGGGATATATCCAACTTTAGATAATCTTTAAAAATTGCGAGGTATTTAAATGGTCGTATTATACGGTTTTAATATGATCTGATCGGAATATATATAGTACATTCTTAGGACAGGAATGTTAGCTTCAGTATCATATTAATGTTTGTTTTATGTTCCTGTTTGAACACATTCCTTTTATGAAGCGTACTTAAGGCCCACTAATCTATATACTTCAGCTGGTTTCCCCGGGGCATGCAAAGTCTCTCCCTCCAGAACAAGTAATGTCACGGGGCCCATAATTAAAAACTATTACAGCACCAATTGGCCAGACAATTACGTCCACGTTGGCCAGCTGCGCGACTTTTAAATAGTTCAAACCACTCGGAGAATACGGAATACGGCACCTGGCGGCCCAGATAAGTGCTGAATCGGTAGCTAAGGGCCCCAGATACCAAGACCACTTTCGATCATAAATTAAAATTAGAATTTTAAATGCGAAACTAATTAAGCAAAGCTGCTGCCGAGGCAGAGAGATAATATGTATTAAAGGTAAGTGGAGAAAACCTGTGAGATTTCATGCCAAAAGCCGTCAATGTTGTTGTTAAACAATTGCAAGAAAATCGTGCATAAAATTAACCATTAGCGGGTTGCCAAGCAGCCGCCCTGTCTGGGCTTTAGATGGCTTTCCAACCAGATGGCCGTTTTGGCCCGGACAACGGGGCGTATGAGCGATAATGATTGCACACCAGCAGGTAGCAGCCAGCGGCACGCGATTGAAATCGACTTGATTTTGGGCCTGATTCTGCGCATCATCATCGTCAACCATTGTTCCCATACTGATGGGTGTCAATATTATGATTTAAGCTGGGCAAACAGATCGGGTAACATTTCGAATACGCAGAAAGAGAGCTGACGCAATGTCAACAATTGGTTTCCGAGTGATCTGTTTGCCAGCCTCATCTAATTTTTGAGAGCATCAGCGCGAGCTGGAGGTGCATATAGAGTCGGGAACGGAAAGTCTTAAGTAGATTTACACGCTTCACTGAACCACCTGTTGACATTGGCTAATTAAAAGTCGTGCACACGCTTCTCAAAGCGGAAGTTTGCCTAAAGCTGGGAAAGATCGGTGCCAAAGGTCGGTGCTGGGATAGGGAATCACCAACCAATTTGTCTGATAAATTCTTCTTTAATAGTGGGTTTTAACTAGTTAAATTACAGCTCAAGTTATTTCAAATATTTATATTTAATAGTACAGTTGAACTTTAATAAAGCGAACTTCAATATTAGTATTTATATAAGCATTTATTTAGGAAATAATTTTTAGGTATCGATTTTATTTCAGAT